AAAAAAAGAGAGAGAGAAAGAACACAGATGATATTATGCCAATGTTAATTTATACAGGAAAGAAAAAACAAGTTACAGATCTACCCATATCATATGATAGTATTTTCAGTAAAAAAAAATCAGGGGTTATGAGGGAAAATAGGAAAATGTTCAAAGTTGGAAGCTGTTAAGAATGAGACAGCCAGGAAATTTCTGGTTCTACTTTTCTACTTTATCCTTTATTGCATGGTTTGAATTTCTTCTTTTTTTTTAAAGATTTGATTGATTGATTGATTGATTGATTGATTTAGAACACACGAGCAGGGGGGAAGGGCAGAGGGAGAGGGAAAGAGAGAATCTTAAGCAGGCTCCATGCTGGGGCTCAATCTCATGACCTGAGCTGAAACTAAGAGTCATACATTTATCCCGCCTGAGCCACCGAAGCGCCCCTGAATTTCTTTTTTTTCTTAAGCATTTATTTTTAAGTAATCTCTACACCCAACGTGGGGCTCAAACCCACAACCCTGAGATCAAGAGTTGCACGCTCCACTGACTGAGCCAGCCAGGCGCCCCTGATTTTCATTTTTTTAGCAATGAGTGTGTTACTGTCTCCCCGAAGTAAAATAACGATATTATTATTTTTTAAATTTGCTGAAAAGCAGCAGCAAAGATCTGGAGGGAGGATAGTGCAGAAGGTTGAAAGCAGGTGCCTCTGCCCAGGGAATAGGGGTGCCAAGTAACAGAGGCCCCCTGAAGAACTCAAAGAATGTCCTGTCTCCTCAGGCGTGTGTGCGGGATGCAGGGAGGAACTTTTTGTCCTTTATATGTCCTCATTTCCTCCGCATCCTCTCTTGCTCATTCCTATGGTTACAGTAAAAAAATTTAGCCACTAAAGATACAGGATGCCCAGCTAGTGTTGAATTCCAGATAAACCTCAAGTCATTTTTTAGTATAAGTGTGTCCCCACGCAATATTTGGGACATATTTAGACTAAATATTTAGGTACTGTCTCTGAAATTCAAATGTAATTGGGCATCCTGTATTTTATCTGCTAATCCTACTCACTCCACACCAGTCACCCTGGCCTCATGGCTGTCTCTCAAACACACAGCCTCAGTCCTGCCTCAGGGCCTTTGCACCTGCTGGTTTCTCTACCTGGATCACTCTTCTAGGTCTTTGCTTTGACCAGCTCCCTGTCCTTTGGCCTCCCAGAGAGGCCTTTGCTTGGCTCCCTACTGACAGTACCCTTTGCCATCCCACACTTTAATTCCCACTGTATTTTCTCTGCAGCGCTGATCACCATCCAGAATTCTCAGGTGATAGTATTTTTGTTTTCACAGTTTCTTCTCTAACTCCCCCGGTAGAATGTCAGCCTCACAAGAGCCAAAATGTCATCTCGGCTACCACATTATCTACAACAGTTGCATCGTGGCTGGGTGCATTGTTCTTTCCTGGTTCTTAGCCATAACCAACAAAACCCATTTCTGGCTGATTTGAGCAATGAAGGACTTCAGCAAATAAATATTTGTTAATGAATGAATCCTGAGACCCACAGTTTCCCCCTTCTGGTCTCTCCATAGACCCCCAAACCACCTCACAGGCTGTCCCTGAGGCCCTGCTACTCCTCCCAGGGGCAGTCACCCCAGCCTGCTAGGCAGGCATCTGGGTAGCCTCCAAAAGCCTTGCTTGGCTTTGCCTCCCAGAAGCTGTAGGGCCTTCCGTCCTGCAGCCTGTCACTTCCCGAGCATGTCACACATCATAGGTGTTGCGATCAGCCAGACATGCCCGCTTCCTGTGCGCCCAGCAGTGGGAGCCCCAAGAGCTGGGCCTTTATCTGATTCACCTAAATTACCATCACTCCTACTATTTATGACCTGCTCCTTCAGCACCGGTGCTGTTTTAAACATTTTTTTATCTGAATTTCTCCTGCCTCCCCTGATCCATTCAACCAGTGTTTATTGAGCAACTACTATGTTTCAGGTACTGGAACCACAGGGGTAAATAGAACTGGCAGAAACCCCAGAAACCCCTGCCACACACCCCCGCAAGCTCACTTTCTGATGGGGGAGATAAAGAATACATCGTGAAAGATGTGTTTTCATAGTAGGCCACGACGTGGAAGTGATCTGGAAAAGAATAAAGCAGGGAGAGGGGATGGGGGGTAGGGGGGTGGGATGCTGTTTTAAACAGGTGGTCAGGGGAGGGCTCCCTGCAAAGGCTTGAAGGAGGGGAGGGAGAGAACCATGCGGGTACCCGGGGGGACAGTGTCCCAAGCAGAAGGAACAGCCAGTCATCTGATAAAGTCGAGGCCAGTGTGGCCGGAGCAGAGTGGGCAGAGACAAGTAGTGGGAGATGAGGACAGGGAGGTGACAGGCAGATTGTGTGGGGTGGGCCACAGGGAAGATGCTGGCTTTCACCCCAAGGGAGATGAAGCTCTGGGAGAGCTCAGGCAGAGGAGAGACATAATGTGACACAGGTGTCCACCAGTCCCTTCGGCTGCATGTGGAGAGCAGACGGGGGCGGGGGGAGAGGGGAGACCAGGCAAGGGACAGATAGACAGGACCAGGGTGGGGGCCTTGGAGATGGGAGAAGGGGATGGGTTCTAGATCGACTTTACAAAGTCAACAGAATTTCCTAGCTGATTAAATGTGGGATGTGAGAAAAAGAAGAGTCAAGGACAACATCAAGGCTTTCAGCCTCATTTAATCCCAAGGCAATGCCATCAAGTATGATCATTCTTTGGTGACAGATGATGAAACTGACATTCAGAGCGGGCTGGGGATGCCACATCCCACAGCAAGTAGCAGAGCTGAGATGCAAACCCCATTTCTGTCTAGCCCCAGTGCCAGGGCTTCGCTCTCTGTGGAACCCCCCCGCCGCCCCGATCCAGGCCTGTTCACAGCCTCCCCTGGCCTGGGACGGAACATGCCAGGCCCATGTGGGCACCAGCTCAGGCTTTGGCTGCAGGGAGCATTGCGTGACTCCGCAGCTGGCGACTTCACGGGCTGGGTGCATCCCTCTGCGGCATGCCCTCATTGTGTGTCACCTGAGTTGGGTAACTATGTTGCTCTGCTCGCCCATGAACTCTACAGGGCCCCGCTGGGGCTGATTCATTGCTGTCCCTGGCGTGTCCCTGGCATTGTCCGGCTAGAGCGTGGCACACGGTGGCTTTCAGGAGGCAACAAGTATTTATGAAGCACCAATCTTATGCCGGGCTGTGCCGGGGCGAGCCCTGGGCCCCTCGCTCCTGGGGCTGACAGTCCAGTGGGGGAGACAAAGCCACCCCCAGACAGTGCCGGCCCAGGGTGGGCCAGGCTGGGACCCACAATGAACAAGATGGTCCTCGTCTCCCCCCCCCACCACCCACCCGGCCCCCGCCCCCCCCCCCCCCCCCCCGCACAGACCCTTAGCCCCAGGGCTCGGACTGACCACAGACAAGCATAAATCAGAGGATTCCAGGAAGCTAAGAGCTAGAAGTGAAGTAAAGCGGGAACAGGACAGAATGACGGCAGCTCTCTTTGTTGGGGCTGTCAGGGAAAGCTGCGACCTCAGGCTGAGAAGGTGCCAGCCCAGGATGAGCCGGGGAGAGGGCACACCGAGGGTGAGAAAGAGCTTTGCGTAATTCAAGAAACCGCAGGAAGCCCGTGTGCCTTGGGCACCGTGGGGGTGGCGGTGGGGGTGGGGGGGTTGGGGAGTAAGTGTGAGGAAGCTGAGCCCGTGCAGCTCATGGAGCAATAATGTGAGGTTGGCCTGCAGAGCTGGGAGCCCACAGGCTGCCCCGGGGAAGCTCTCAGCCCAGGGGTCAGTGCCCAGCTTGGCCTAGGACTCCTGCCGTCAGATGTGTCTGTCACCAGCTCAGAGCCCTCCTGTGGATAAAGGACAAAGTCCTCCTGGGCCCCATGAGGCCCAGCATGATCTTTCCTCGTCACCTCCCTGTCTCTATCTTCCCCTGCGCACTCTGCCCCGGCTGTACCGGCCTCCACACTGATCCCTGGCAGGGCCGGCCTGTTTCTGCCTCAGGGCCTTTGCACTGGCCATTCCTCTGTTTGGAACACTCTGCCCCTGTGGCTTCTCCCTCAGACCCCTTCAGATCACATGTTCACCCTCCTGGGGAGGTCCCCCTGATTATCCTTGTAAAAACTGCACTGTCCCCCCTCAGGCCCCTTCCCTGCTTTTTCAGAGTGCTTACCAATATTTACCCTGCTTTACATTTTTCTTATTTATTGTGTTTGCTGTCTGACCCCCTGGTTAGAGTATCAGCTCTGTGAAGGCAGAGATCTCTGGCTTGCTCATAGCTGTCTCCCAGGACTGAGACCAGGGCCTGGCCCATGGGAGATGCCCGATAAATAATGGGTAAATACACGAAAAGGAAGGGGAGAGAGAGATGGAGGAGAAAGGAAGGGAAAGGGGGAGGAAAATGGCAGGTCTGTGAGACCTTAAGGCTTGTCAGCAACCCCAGCTTGGAGGCAGGAGTGCTAACACGTCTCAGTGCTGGGCCGGGAAACTGAGGCACAAGGCAACACTGGTAGTACTCCTTGGGCGGCTGGAGCATTGAGGGCGGCCTAGGAGGAGAAAGTCACTGACGCCCCCTGCTGGAGAGTGGTGTCATGACAGCCGTGCCCACTCCGCGGACTTAGGGCTGGTGATGCCCCTCACCCCTGCGGGCAGGGGAGGAGTCGGCTCAGGGGGCATCCCTGGCAGAAGTGCAGAGTCCATGGCCACGGCTATAAGCCTCTTTATTCCAGGGTCCCCGTAGGCGCCCCGCCCTGTCAGTGCTATGCAGGAGAGCCGGGCTGTGCCACCCCACACCTGCCCTGCTTTGCTCTGTGCCTGCGCGCCAGCCCTCCCATCACAGCCAGTGGTGCCCCCACCTCTCCAGGAGGCAAGAGCCGCTCTAGCTGCCTGGGGGCTGCATCCACTCCACATGGGGCCTCAGAAGGACTGGGAGCCAAGGCCTGCCCCGACTCTACACTAGCCAAGGCAGCGAGGCCCAGGGTCCCTGATGAGAGCTGCCCCTGTGCCTAGAAGTACATCATCCGGCCAACCAGGGGTTTCACCACCCAGATGTCATCCACAATCTTCCCATCCTGCAAGGGACAAAAACAAAGGAGGTAGTGAGAGCTGAAAGTCCAGACTCCAGGGCCAAGGACCTGAATTCAAATCCAGAACTTTAATGGACTGTGTGACCTTGGGTGAAGTGCTAGACCACTCTGAGCCTCAGTTTTCCTCATCTGAAAAGTGGGGATGATAGTAATAGTACCTACATCATAGATGTTGCAGGAATTCAATGAGATTATTTGTAGAGGGCTTTTTAAAAAGGGATCCCGGGACAAGGCAAGGACTGTGTAAGGTGTAGGCTATTATTATGAGCACAAACCCTGGAGTCAGACAAACATCACTTATATCGCAGTGTAATGGCTCTCTACATGGCCTTAAGAATGTTCTCCAACGGGCACCTGGGTGGCTCAGTTGGTTAAGCGACTGCCTTCGGCTCAGGTCATGATCCTGGAGTCCCGGAATCGAGTCCCACATCGGGCTCCCTGCTCGGCGGGGAGTCTGCTTCTCCCTCTGACCCTCTTCCCTCTCGTGCTCTCTCTCATTCTCTCTCAAATAAATAAAATCTTTTAAAAAATAAAAAATAAAAAAATACAATAAAATTACAATGGCAAAAATAAAGAAAGGTGAGCCATGATTATTTGGGTCTTTCTAACCTTGGGCCACTTCTGCCCTGCACACATCATAGTGGTTTCCCTCCACCTGCTCCCACCACCTACCTTTTTCATGCTTTGGAAACTGTTCTCAGCACTTTATATATAACAGGTCGAGCAACTGTTATCATCCCCTTTAACAGATGGGAAAATTGTGGCTTGGAGAGTTGAAATAAGTCACTCGAGGTCAGCCAGCTGGTAAGTAGCAGAGGCAGGATTTGAACACAGGATTTCCAGCTCTGGAATCCATGCTTTTAACCACTCAGCTCCAGAACTCGCTGGACCCGGTTACTGGGGCAGGTGATTGGGCCAGCGCTCACTGACCTGGTCGTCTGACACCTGCTGGATGTGGACATGGGTCCCGTTGAGGATGTGTAGCCGCGTGTACCCATACTCTTTCACGCGCACGGCGCTCCAGGGCCTCGGGAAGAGGGAGAAGGGGGTCAGCCGCTCCTCACAGCCCTGCCAGACAGAATCCTTTAGACCCAGGGCTGAGGTGGGTGGAGGACCCATAAGGAGCAGAAACAACCTCCCAGGCCAGGACCCTGAGGCCTCCAAGGAAGACAAAGTCTGTTAAGCCTTGACCTCACTAAGACTTCTAGAAAAGTGCATGGTTGTGAGAGACTGCCCACTGTAGCATTTTCTGTAAGAGCCCTAAGCTGGAAGGCACCCAGATGCCCATCAGTGGGGGTCAGTTAAATAAATTATAGCATAGTCATCACAAAGCAAGGTGTTGGTGGCCAAGATGTACAGTAAAAGGGAAAACGCAATTGGAAGAATAGACAAAACCGGTGGGCCCCAACACTGGCTGTGCAGTAGACCCTCCAAGAAAGCTTTTTAAGTCACCAGCGCCTGGGGGAGAGCGATTGCTCAGCCTTGCAGGAGGTACGCCAGGCGACGTGAGCAGAGACCATGAGGGACTTGAAAAATCACCGTTTTGCACCCATCATCGGAATCATTAATGGAAGCAAGAATCATCAATAGGTGGTAAAACTCACGGTGAAAGTCTGAGGAATAGCCAGATAATGGCATAGTCCCAAATGATCTCTCCAGGAGAAATAATATATTAATAATCATTAATTATACATAATATAACAATATTATAAAATATTAATAACATAATAATAGCTGCAACAAATAAAATAATAAGATAAAATAGAGATTAAAACAGATGTGGTTGGGGCGCTTGGGTGCCTCAGTTGGTTGAGCATCCGACTCTTGATTTCGGCTCAGCTCATGATCTCAGGGTCATGGGATTGAGCTCTGTGTGGGGCTCCTCGCTGGGTGTGGGGCCTGCTCAGGATTCTTTCTCCCTCTGTCCCTCCCCTTCCTGCTCACATGCGTCCACGAGCTGTCTCTCTCTCTCTCTCTCTCTCTCTCTCTCTCAAAAACAAACAAACAAAACATAACAAAAAGAGATGTGGTTAAATGTTCACGTTTGGGAAACATTGGTAAAGGGGATATGGAAAGTCTTTGTATTTTTGTGACTTTTCTGTAAGTCTGAAATAATTTCAAAGTTTGAAATTGAAGGAAAACTAATCTGTGCTGATTAAAGTTCAGAATAGCGATCACCTAGGGGTGTGAGGCGCCATCTGGTGCTGATAACATTCTATTTCCTGCTCCAGGTGGTGGCTACACTGGGCCAATGCCAGGGCCCCGTTCTCAGAGATTCTGGTGTTTGTTCTGGAATGGGGCCCAGACGCCGGAGTTTTAAAAAACTTCCCCATGTAATGTCCACCAAAGTTGAGAACCCCTAGGGGATGAAGCATGATCCAAGTTGTTTTTTAAAACTGGGTAGTACAGTTACTAACATCTCTATCAAGATAATCACTCAATTGCACATGCAGAGAACATTCTCAAATGCCATCCGACAGAACACCAGAGTGGGACGAAGAAGGGGTGTGGATGGCTGGTGTTCACCTCCTGCCCTCTGCACAACTGAATTTTTTAAAATTTTTATTTACTTATTTGAGAGAGAGAGAGAGATCACAGAGGCAGAGGGAGAAGCAGGTTCCCCGCCGAGCAGGGAGCCCGATGCGGGACTCGATCCCAGGACCCCAGGATCATGACCTGAGCCGAAGGCAGACGCTTAACTGCCTGAGCCACCCAGGCGCCCTGTGCACTGTTTGAATTTTTATCACAAGTGTTTCTTACTTTGATCTTACTAATTGATAAGAACCAGCTTAAAAAATAAGCCCTCTCTCCTTGCAGAAGTGAGTGATTCCAAGGCGGACAGAGAAAGGGCAGGGAAACACAAGATGATTCTTGGAGCACCCCATAGGGTCAAAAAATAAGGAAGTGCTCACAAAATGACAGGGGCCCTCGAAAGAAAACACAGGCCCTGACCCGAAGAGTTCCCAGTGGCCAAAACCGGAGCAAGGTGATCAGCGGCATAAATCACAGTCATATCGGTTTATCGCCCGCAGGATACAATAATTACCCATGAGTCCACACTGGTATAAATCAATAACGAACTACATAAATGGGACCGAAGGGATGACTCTTCCTCACGAGAGGATTCTAATTAATAAATCTAGGAGGAATGAGGGAAATAGAAACCTCCCATTAGAACACCGCAGTAATAATTGTTGCAGGCAGGACACACTGGGAGATTCAAAAATCAGTGGGTGAAAGTTTGAGGAGTGCTGGGAGATTTGCATGGCCGAAAGGTATCTCCCTGAAGTTACTTATTGATTAGAAAGGGAAATATAATAGCTTTACAGTGGAGGAACCCCGCAGACACCTCCTTAACCAGGTGATTCAGAGACACACGGACGGCAGGACCCCAGGGTCCGATGCACCGAGGAGAACACGACATCGCTTCTGTGATTGTCTTGCCTGAAATGCATAACCTGAATCTCAGCCAAACGACACATAAACCCAGATCAAGGGGCCTTCTGCAAAACCACTGGCCAGGAGTTTTCTAAAATGTGCAGGATGAAAGACAAGGAAAGACTCTTGAGATACTAACTCGAATGTGGGATCCTGGAACAGAAAGCGGTCGTCAGGGAGAAGTTTGGTGGAACGTGAATCGAGTCCGGAGTTCAGTGGCAGTGATGATAATAAGAAGCCCTCTGTCTTTGGATCCGTCTGGTAAACCTGAGCAAACCCCCCCCTCCCCCACCCCACCAACCCCTGCCACTTGTTGAGCCTGCGATTGAACGAGTATTTGACTGCCTGAGCCTCTGTTTCCACATCTGTACAATGAGCCTGCAACTAGGGCTACCTAAGCTCTCAGGGGGGAGTGTTGGTGACAGCAGCTGTATAAACACCTGGCCCCCCAGGCAGGTATAAGAGGCAGTAAAAATCAAGGGGCAAGAAGCCAAAGGCACCCTTCCCCATGGTGCTCACAGCAGATCCTGTGATGATGTGGACCGGGCCTCGAGGATTGGTGTAGGGCATCTCTTGGCTGCCATTAAATACCTGGAGACAGGGGCAAGGGGGAGGAGCATGTCACACCGGGCCAAACCCCAGGTGTCCACCGACACCAGCCGCATGGGCCCTCGACCCTCCCTGAGCCTCACCTGGTAGTCGTAAATGGGCCACAGGCGTTCGTAGGAGTGCTCATGAGCCCATAGCTGCAGGTCGACCCCTGGGACAGAACAAGTTGGGGTCACGCCGCTTGATCCTGGAGAGATTGGGCGGGGCGGTGGGGGGAGAGTGGGCTGGGTCCTGGGGCTGGGAGTTCCCCAGGTCACTCACCGTATTTGTAGAAAAGATCCTCCAACCCATAGAACTTGCCATGGAGGCCCTTGCGAACCTGGGCAGGGCGCACAAGGAGGTGAATGGGGACTCAGGCCGCCCCCTCCCCCTCCTGGCTCTCAGCACCCGGCCTCAGGGAAGGGGGTCCTCACCTTGCTTTCATGCCACGTACAGTCATCCAAATCAGCATTGGAACAGTACATGGGCCGGTGGCCCATGGTAATGATCCACGGCCGGGCGGTCCGGTTCTTGTTGGCTTTCTGGAGAGAAGGGCCCCAAGTGAGGGGGGCGGGGAGGCGGGAAGGGGAGGAGACGCAGGGCAGGGGATTATAGGGGACCTCCACCCATGTTACCTGGAGGTCGCTCTCCAGCCAGTGGAACTGTCTCTCTACCAGGTGGTGACCGTAACTGAGGAAGAAGTATACCTCGGTGGAGAAGGAGATGATGTGCGCGGGGCCCAGATCCCAGCTGGAGGGGTCAAAGGGCATAAGTCAGAGGTGGGGGTCTCCTTGGCATCTCCCATCCAGCCTCCAGGCCCCAGGGTCCTCCAGATTACCTGTACCACAGACCTTCGTTGTTCCCTGGCATGCTGAAGCGGGCCTTGTAGTTAGAGAAGTTGCTAGGTAAAAGAAAGTGAAAAGGTGGGGAGAGAGTCTGGGTTCCCCGACCCGGCCCCCAACTCCCCACTGCCAGGCCAGGTCTGCCTCCCAGCCCGGCCCCCATGTCCTCTCCTCTCGATACCACTAACGTGCTGCTGCAGGATGAGGGACTAAGGTGAGACACTAAGAAGGACACGTCTGTTTGCTCCGGTCAGGCCCTCGCCCGCCCTGAAGCCCCAGGCCCTCACTAGCGTTCTTCGTGATTCCCAGGGCACGTCATATAGGGCAGGCTGGCAGCCACAGGTTCAATGAGCTGCATGAACTTGTCCCCGACTCGAGCATTGTCCTGATCCATGTCGTAGGCGAAGTCTCCTGGCGGGGCGGGGGGGGGGGGGGAGGTGGGCAGGGAGAGAGTGAGAACCCAGACCCGGCTCTCCTCTTGCTGGAACCGAGAGACCCAATTGCTCGGCTCTGCAACCCCCAGCCCCGAGCCATCCCGGTTCTGCGATCCTTACCTCACACCCACCCACATGTGCACTTGGAGCTGTTTCCTGAACCTCTGGCCCCTGAGGACCGCCCCCCACTTGAGACTGCACTGGTCTCCCATGCTCTGATTGCACCGGCCCCCATCTCTGCTCACCTTGTCCCCTCCCATGACAACATTAAGACTGACACAATCTGATACTGGTTTTGTACCAGGCACCGTTCCAAATGCTTTACATACTTGATCATCTGAATCTTCAAAACACCCTCTGAGGTGGATGTTATTATCACCACACTTCAGATGGGGAAACTGAGGCCCAGAGGGGTTATGTGCTGGCACAAGGTCACGGGGCTGGTTAGTAAAAATCCAGGAATCAGGCCCTGGGAGTCTGATTCCAGAGTCTGCAGCTGTGAACCATGTCAACCCCAATCTCCATCTCCCATGTGTGTCCCTGTGCCCTGAAGCTACAGCAGCAATGATCATGACAAGGAACACACGACACTTACAGCATGCCACGCAATGTCGCCTACATAGTCATCACGACAGTCCCGTGAATTCTGGAGCAGCCTTAGCCCTCATTGTAATAACGCAGAGGACAAAACCAATAACGCACGTGGCTCTCCCTGTTGGAGCTGGGATTTGCACCTGGGCAGGCTGGTTAACCACAGACACCCTCTCCAGGGCCCGTGTCTCATCGCCTGTCCCTTCAGAACCACACTAACCCCAGCGCGGTGCCCTCGATAGCCCCGGGATCGCCTTCCACCCAAGCCCCACCTGATGTCTCCAGGCGCACCCTCGCCAATGCCTCACCCACATGGAGAACAGCATCGTACATGCCCTGCTGGGTGTCCCTGCGCAGCCGCGGGAAGGCCTTCGGATTGTCAGTCCCCAGGTCCCCAAACACAGCCAGACGGGGGCTCCAGTGGGGACCATTCTTCAGCGCCCGGAAACGGAACCGACGGCTCCAGCCCCGAGAACTGCCACAGCGGTAAACTGAGGGAAAAGGGAAGGTCACAGTCAGCTAGGAGCACGCCCTGGCTGCCTCCTCCCCACCCCGCAATCCGTCTTCACTTGGTGGGGGAAGGAAGTGGGGATCGAGGGGTTCTGACCCATGCCCTTTGGTCCACCCCACCCCAGACCCCGGCGCCTTCCATTCTCATGCCAGAGTCTCGTGTAATAGGCTGCAGATCAGCAGAGCGGTTACCAGCCTGGCCTGGGCCCCCTGTCAGCAGTGGCTTCTCCTCTATCTCCCACTCCTTTTCCTGCTCCCGCATCAGCACTCGGGCCTGGGGCCCCCTCTCACCGTACTGGACCCCCGGCTGCAGCCCCCGCAGCGTGACCCGGTGTATGTAGAGCTTCCGCCGGAGAATGCCCCCATCCACAAAGGGGCTGAAGGTGCCCTGAGCCCGGAGGGGCAGGGGCCCTGTTAGCTGCAGTCCGAACTGCACTTCGGACGGGGTGGGGACCCATGTGGTCCAGGTTACAGTCATGGAGCCCGGCTCACCTGGGGAGAAAGGAGCAGAGCGGGGCTGGGAAGTGAGGCCTGGGTTGGAGCAGGGGAGGATGTGCAGACAGAGCGAGGGGCAAGAGCAAACAGCTCTGGAACACTTAGTAATTGGGGACATGGGTTCCGGAGCTCCCCAAGTGAAACCCCAGCTTTGCCATTTCCAAGCTGTGCTTCCCCGGGCACATCACTGCACCTCTCTGCGCCTCGGTTTCCTTACCTGTAAAGTGGAATAATAATGGTTTCTACTCTAAGGGTTTTTATGAGGCTCAGGAGAATAAATACAAGCAAAGCACTTGGGACGGTGCAGTGAGGATTACACGAGGGAATGAATATTATTCTTACTACGATTATTTACTGCGTGCGGCCCTCGTGCCAAACATTTTGCATACATGATATCATTGAGTGGTTATAAACTCAGATGTCTAGAAGCCTGCCAGGTAATAATAAACGGGGACAAAGGTCGGCTGGAAGGAGTCAGGCAGCAGAGAGTGATGGAGTATGTGGCAAACTGTAGACTCCGCCCTGTCTTAAAGGGGCAGCCGTGGCTCACTGCGGTGTAGCTTCTGCTTCCATGCAGGAAGCAGGCCCAGGGTACCCAAATCTGTCAACTTCTAGAGTAAGTCTCTATATGGTGGTTTTTATATGCCAGGAACATAGATAGATACATAGATAGATAGATAGATAGATAGATAGATAGATAGATAGATCCAAACTTTTTTTAAGATTTTTTATGTATTTATTTGAGAGAGAGAAAGAGCATGAGCTGGGGGAGGGGCAAAGAGAGAGGGACAAGCAGACTCCTCGCTGAGTGCAGAGCCAGCCAATGAGGGGCTCGGGGCTCGGGCTCTATCCCAGGACCCTGAGATCATGACCTGAGCTGAAGTCAGACGCTTCACCGACTGAGCCACCCAGGCACCCCAGTAAATCCAAACTTTGAAGTGCTAACTCAAAATTCTTAAATGCCAGCAACCAAATCAAGGTTTTCAAAACACTACATGGTATAGTCTGATGTTAAGAGCATGCATTCTTGTTCAGGGAACAGGAGAATGCATGTGCACCAGATTCTTCATTGCAGCACTGTTTGTAATCATGACGTATCAGAACTGACCAAAATGCCCACCCACAAGAGAGGGGCCGAATAGGCTATGTAACATCCAGACAGTGGAACACAAGGGAGCTATCCAAAGAATGAGGACAAGTTCTAGGAATTGCTACGGAATGGCGTCCAGGACAGCCAGGGAAATTGACAAAGCAAAGTACACAAGAGTGTCAATAGTCACCTATTCTTCACTAAGAGGAGAGACATAGGTACCTACTCATCTGTATGAAAGAAATCTAGGAAGGACACAGCAGAAAGGAAAGACATGGGTTACTTACATGGGGTTGATGGGGATGGGGCAGAAAAGGGGAGACAGGTACAGAGCAGGAAAGACCAGGACAGAAAACACTATTTAGTGTTTTTAGTGTAATTTTTCAGTGTAATTCTGACTCTTAGAATTATAGTCGTGTTCCATATTTCCTTCACACATACCCAAAATAAACTAACAATTACAATAACAATGCAGGAAGAAGCCAGTATGGAATATAAACACTGACCAATGGACGTAACTATATTTAAAAAGTAAATAAAGCAACCACAACAAAGGGGTGGGTCACCATGGGATAGGTCTTGACTGGACGCTGTAAGACTATGGCGAAAAGGTACAAACTTCCAGGCATAAAATAAATAAGTCACAGAGAGGAAAAAAGTACAGCATAGGGAATATAGTCAAGTATATCGTACTAACATGGCATGGTGACAGACGGTGACTTCCCTTACTGTGGTGAGCACCGAGTAATGAAGAAAACTGTCAAATCACTATGAAACTAACATAAAATTTGATGTCAACATATAATTCAGTAATAAAAAAATGCTTTTCAAAAGACTACAGAGAAGGGGCGTCTGGGTGGCTCAGTTGATTAAGTGTCTGCCTTCAGCTCAGGTCATGATCTTGGGGTCCTGGGATTGAGCTCCATGTCGGGCTCCCTGCTCAGCGGGGAGCCTGTTTCTCCCTCCCCTCCCTGCTCATGATCTCTGTCGCTATCTCTGTCTCTCTCTCTCTCTCAAATAAATAAATAAAATCTTTAAAAAAAAAGACTACAGAGAAAAAGGACTGCACATACATGTTGTCACCTAGTAAATGTTCTCACAGGGATACAGGCAGATAATTCTGAAGCCGCTTTATGCCTATACTTGCATCGAACAAATACCTAAGAATACTGTAGAAGTGGGAGGTAGGTTTTGCAATGCTGGAGAAAGAAGTTATAAATAAGGAAAGAAGGCTAAAATAAGCCCATGATGTTGGACTAGAATCAGAGGTATCAGTATGATCTCATGGTAAGTGCTATATACATACAGACAGATACAGAAATGGAGATATGTGCATGTGCATTTGATACACACACACACGTTTGTGAAAGGGCCTGGAAGCCGTGATACCTTGGTAACCACGAGCACACCTAGTACTCAGATCTTAGTTTCTAAATACCCGTTCTCCAGTGAAAGAAACCAGGGCTCCTTGCAGAAGCCGTTGATTCCAAAGACAGGGCAGGAAATATACAAGATAAGCCTGGAATGACATGTGGTGCCAGAAAGTGGGGGAGTGCTCAAGATATGATAGGGGTTTGTCGAAAGAACACAGAAGCTGATCCAAAGGCATTCCAAAAGACCAAATCCAGGACAATTTGAGCCACAAAATAAATAACAAGAGTATTGGATATTTAACCCAAGGAATCAAATAAATATCTGTAAGTCTACACTGAAATACATAAATAAGTAAGTGAATGGATGGATAGATGGATAGATGGAGGGAAGGGACAGCTTTCCTTACAGTAAAATTTCCATTAGATGGAAAGAAGAATTAGAAAGCCACAAAATCACCATTAGGCAAACACCGTGCTAATAATTGCTACAGGCAAGATCCATTGACGGATGCTAAAATCAGTGGGCGAAAGTTCCAAGAGAAACATAATTTGCATGGTTTCAAGGAATCTCCCCCAAGATATTTATTAAGTGCAAAGGGAAGAAGAAGAATCCTACGATGGAGAAACCCAGCAGGCTCCACTGTAACCACACAATGAAGGTTAACATCACCAGTAACAGCAATGAGCTATGTCAGCACCGTGAGCTCTCTGATACAGGCACCGGGGAGGACACAACATCACAGCTCTGATAGTCTTGCCAGAAAAGCACATAACTTCATTCTGATCAGGAGAAAATATCTGACAAACCCCAAATGAGGGCTACCCTACAAAATACCTGCTTGGTACTAAAAAATGTCAAGATCATGAAAGGTAAGCAAAGACTGAGCCACTGGCAGGTTGGAGGTGACTAAGGAGAACAGCTAACTGCTAAATAATGAAATAACCAAGTGGGAAAACTGCTGATATTCCAACAGGGTCTGTAGTTTAATTAATAGTATATTGTACCAATGTTAATGTCCTGTGGTTTTTCCTTAAGATTGTATTTATTTATTTGAGAGAGAGAAGAGGTGTGTGAGAGAGCATGAGTTGGGGGGAGTGGCAGAGGGAGAGGGAGAAGCAGGCTCCCCGCTGAGCAGGGAGCCCGATTTGGGGGCTCCATTCCAGGACCCTGAGATCAAGACCTAAGCTGCAGGCAGATGCTTAACTGACTGAGCCACCCAGGCGCCCAACTTCCTGGTTTTAATAAACACATTGGGGCATCTGGGTGGTTCAGTCAGTTAAGTGTCCAACTCTTGATTTTGGTTCAAGTCATGATCTCAGGGTCGTGGGATAGAGCGCCGAGTCAGCTCCAGGCTGGGCGTGGAGTCTGCTTAAGATTCTCTCCCTCCCTCTTTCTTTGTCCTTCCCCTCCACCCGCATGCACATGTGCACTCTCTAAAAAAATAAATAAACATACCGTAATTATGTAAGATGCTAACACAAAAGTAGGAGAAACCGGGTGAGGGGAATATGGGAACTCTGTAATATTTTTGTAAATTTTCTGTTAAATCTAAAATTAGTACAAAGTTAAAATTTTAAAACAAATACCGTGGGCTCTTTGAGCCAGACTGCCGGGCTTCAAATTCTAGACTGTGTGACCCGGGGTCAGACTTTTCATCTCTAGGAGCCTCGGTTTACTCTTCTATAACATGGGAGTAACAATAGAACCTACAGTTCAAGATCCAATATGAGGCTAAGTGAGTTATCCCTCTGATGCATTTAGTAGGAGTGGATTTGCTATTCTTACTGCGCAGGCCAAACAAGGGACCCCTTGTCACCTCACTGGATTTTCACAGTAGCACCATGAGATGGGTTTTACTGCCGTTCCATTTTATAGAGGTCTCCAGGCAAAGGGTTCCAAGGTCAGTTGGTCAACGAACGCCAAAGCCAGTTCACTTGCATGGCTTCAGATTCTACGTTGCAACTAATCTTTAAGAAACAATCTTCCTCATAACTGTCAAGGACATAAAAAACAAACAAACAAACAAACAAAAAAACAAGAAAAGCCTGAAGAATTGTCACAGCTAGGAGGAGACTAGAGATGGCAGCAGGATGCGGTGTGGGATTGTGGATCGGATTAGTGGAAAAATTGGTGAACAACCAAAGTCCATAGTTCAATTAGTGACATAATGCCAATGTTAATTTCTTAGCTTTGACAATGGGTACATAAAACATTGACATTAGGGGAAGCTGGGTGAGGGGGGTACAGGAATTCTGCGCTATCTTTGCAACTCTTCCATAAATCTAAAGTTATTTCAAAATAAAAAGCTAAAATTATTTGAAAGACAGAAAGGGCTGTGTGTTGAGTTTGGGTGCAGTATCAAAAAGGAATAGGCACAATTATCTGAAACTCCTTTTAAAATCCTCCTCCCGGGGTGCCTGGGTGGCTCAGTCGGTTGGGTGTCTGCCTTCGGCTCGGGTCGTGGTCCTGGGGTCCTGGGATCGAGCCCCGCATCAGGCTCCCTGCTCAGCGGGGGACCTGCTTCTCCCTCTCCCACTCCCCCTGCTTGTGTTCCCTCTCTGGCTGTGTCTCTCTCTGTCAAATAAATAAATAAAATCTTTTAAAAATAAATAAATAAAATAAAATCCTCCTCCCTGTTTCAACCCGGAGTCTGTGTGAGACCAAATTTTCTTCATATATATCATCCAAAGCAACATATTGAAACAGACAGCAGTGGAAGCAGATGTGGGAAGAATCTGGCTGTCTCCTATTAAGCCAGACATTAAAGAGACTTAAAAAGATGTAAACCAATGCCACTCTTCTCATTAGATTTCTTTTCTTTTGTATAGTCTAGTTATTTTTCATGCAAAATGCCACTTACCTTAACACAGAGTGGATTTATTACTGCTCATTTTAAATGACTTAAAAACGTTTAAATGCCTTAGCTTTAATTTCTAATATGGCAAATATTATGGATGTAACTCACATAAACTAAAGCTCCTTGACGTTCTGACTCATCTTTAGCTGTGCAAAGGGACTCTGAGACAAAAATGTGTGGGAACCATGCCTACACTCCATTTTGGCACTTCACAGGTAATATCTCATTTACTCCCTGCTATGAAGTCACACGAGTATTCACCCATTGTCCAAAGGAGGAAGCAGAGGCCAGAGAGGTTAAGTCACTTGCCCACGGTCACACAGCAGGTAAGTAGCAAAGGGAGGATTAAAACCCAGGAAGTTTGGGTCCAGAGGGTCCAGAGTCTAAGGCCTTACCATCACCCTTAGATCAAGGATCAGGAGACAGCTTTGTGGGGACACTGAGCAAGGACAACAGCAGTCCCCTTCGGAGAACGTTTACCATAGTCTGGGCACCATAATCATTTCCCACAAAGTCAGCTGCACCACTGCTTGGAACCCCCATTTAACAGAGGCAGATAACTGAGGCTCAGGAAGAACAAACCACCAGCCCAGGGTCCCACAGCAATCTGCATGGGACACCTGAGTCCCCAACCCACTGGGCCTCCCTGGGATATGCCCAGGAAGTGGTCCCAGAAACTTACCTGGGTAGGACAGGTGGACTTGCTCAGGGTCAGCCCTGGAAGCCACTGGGGTCCCCTGGACTCCCAAGGAGGAAATCAGGAGCAGACAGTAGCAGGACCAGCAGGGACAAAGGGGGCGCATGGTAAGGGGCCCGGGGGGGGGGGGGATGGGGAAGGGGAGGGGTCCACAGTAAATCAGATCCCGTCAGGAACAGCACAAAGGGGCTGGGAAGATGGAGAATGGAGGGAGAGCGGGCAATGTCAGGGGAGGGAGGCAGGATGGCGGGGAGGTCTTCAAGGGGGTGGTTATCCAGATGCTAGAGAAAAAACAAAAATATTGATCACTACCAAGTACCAAATGTTCTGAGACTCGCTGCGTGCTAAGCACTTTGCATAGATTAACTCACGGGAGCCTCACAACATTCCTATGTGTGGTGGCTGCTCAGATCATCACCGCCATATCACAGGTGAGGACAATGAGCCAACAGTGATTCAGTGCACAGCTAGGATGTGATGGAGCCGGGACTGGAAGCCAGGGGTCCTGGTTCCAGAGCCCTAGCTCTTAACCACAGCTCACTCTCAGTGAGAGGTTGGGGAGTGGGGTGGGGACTCAGTGTGGAAAGTTGTCCTTGGCAACCCCATCCCCAGCATTCCACCCTGCTCTTAGCAACCCCAGCTTCTGGGCCCTGTGGCCTCCATCCCTAGCATTGCCCCCTGCTCTCAGAGCTCATCACTCTGTCTTTCTGCCTCCAGCCTTCCATTTTGGTCTTAGTGACCCCAATCCCCCACTGCATCCCCAGGTTCCCCCTCCCAGAATTCTAGCCTCCTTGGAGGAGCCCCTTCCCCTCTATCTCCTCTTCAGCATCCCATCCTGCCTTGGTGACCCCAATCTCCCCCAGGCCTGCACCTGCATACCCACTCCCCTTCTCCCCGGCTCCAGTTTGCTCTCCAGCTCCCAGAGGACCTGCTGGGGACGCCCAGCTGGGCCAGGACCTTCAGCCCGGAGGCTGGGAGCTGGGGCAGGGGACTCCCTCCCAGTCCCCGGCTCACCCTCGGGGCGCCACCTGCCCGCACGCGCGCACGTCTGGGGCCACCAGTGAGGTGGCGGTATTTATGAGTTTGCAGGCACCGCCGCATCCTGCCGCCCACTTCTGTCCCAGCCCCGGAAGGGCCTGCCTTCTTGAAGTGACAGGCTCCCCAGACAACCGGGGCCCCGGGTCGCACAGGTCCAGCCGGTCCTGGGCGCCCCACGCCCACCCATCCACCCTCCCCCCCCCCAGGGTGGGGCGTGGGAAGGGGGACCCAGGAAGGTTTGGTAGCTGCAGCCGCCGCCTCCAGGGTGACCACCAGATGAGCGCCAGGGACAGGTAAGGCTGAGCTCGTCCCGCAGCCACCCCACCCCGGGACTGCGGAGTCCCCAGGGCACGGACACTGGCCCCCACCCCTAGCCCTGCCAGATCCCCCGGTACCCAGGTGTGCCAAGCAGCTGGGGCCTGCGACCCGGGGGATTCCCCAATCCCTTCCCGTGGGCTCCTCTTCCTCGAAATTCCTTCCTCCTTCCTCCTTCTCCAAGCTTAGCCCCTGGATTCCTTCCCCCCCTCCCCAGAACCACCACTTCACCCCGAGGCATACTGAAAACACAAAATCAAAATCCACGAAAGGCAGTGCTGCTTCTGAGCTGGACGCTCTAGGCGGGTTACTTAACCTCGCTGAGCCGTGGCTTCTTCACCTGTAAAACTAAGATAATAATAGTACATACCCTATGGGCTTTTGCGAGGATTAAACCAGATGAGGCATGAAATTTCATGCTGAGAACATGGCCTGGCCCAGAGTTAGGGCTGGATCAGAATCAGCTTTTTTATTATGACGAATGCATGAACTCCAGATATTGCCCTGGGGTCTAGTTGGGAGCGAGTGAAAATTTTCCTTAAACCTTAATGGGCTGTTTGAAGGTTGAGAGGGGCTTGCCACAAAATGTGTTTGGGGGATCCCCCAGCAGCAGGGCAAGTGTGGAGGGTCCAGGTTTTTCATTGTTCTCCCTTCCTGTCGGTAGATAAAATGACCCAACCACTAGGCTTTTGTAAATCAAAGTATAGCAGTTCCTGGGCGCCTGGGTGGCTCAGTCTAAGTGTCTGCCTTCAGCTCAGGTCATGATCCCAGGGTCCTGGGATCGAGTCCCACATCGGGCTCCCTGCCTGGCAGGAAGCCTGCTTCTCCCTCTCCCACTCCCCCTGCTTGTGTTCCCTCTCTCGCTATCGCTGTCTCTTTCAAATAAATAAATGAAATCTTTAAAAAAAGAAAAAAGATTCTCTTTCCCTCTCCCTCTGCCCCTCCACCCCATGCTCCCTCTCTCTCTGAAAGAAAGAAAAAGAGAGGAAGGAAGGAAGGAAGGAAGGAAGAAAGAAAGAAGAAAGAAAGAAGAAGGAAAGAAAGAAAGAAAGAAAGAAAGAAAGAAAGAAAGAAAGAAAGAAAAAAGAAAAGATGTTTTCACATCCCACTGCAGTCATTCAAGTCTCTCAAACATCTATACACTCATTGAAACTTCTGAGTTACCATAATTTTTTGAACCTGTGCTAGATCTTGAAGTTTAATGCATGAAGAAAGAAGCACATATCTTACTGTATCACATATTTGTTCTAAAAAATACTTTTACGGGTGCCTGTCTGGCTCAGTCAGAAAAGCATGCGACCCTTGATCTCGGAGTCCTGAGCTCGAGCCCCACCTTGGGTGTAGAGAGTACTTAAATAAACTTAGAAAAATATTTCTATATCAATAATTCAGTAGCACTGGATTGAGAGTCAGTCTCTGAAATCTGTGTACCCAACCAGGGGAACTGCTATACTTTGTGGGGGTTTTGTTGTTGCTGTTGTTTTTTGAGAGAGAAAGAGAGAGAGAGAGAGAACACAAGCAGGAGCGGCAGAGGGAGAGGGAGAAGCCGACTCCACTGAGCAGGCTCCACGCCGAGCGCACCGAGCGCAGAGCTTCATCTCATGACCCTGAGATCATGACCTGAGCTGAAATTGAGAGTTGGACGCTTAACCGACTGAGCCACCCAGGCGCCCCGGATTTCTTTTCATGGCAGAGCTGGAAGTCTGCAAAGAGGACAGAAGTATATGGCAAATTTCAATCTCAGCAGTTGTCTTAAATTATACCCTCTTAAAAATTATGGAGGACTCCAAAGAGGTTTTGTATATATGGGTTATATCTATTGATATTTGTCATGTAAGAAAATTAAAATGAGAAGGTTTTTTTTGTTGTTGTTAAAGACTTATTTATTTATTTGACAGAGAGAGACACCGCGAGAGAGGGAACACAAGCAGGGGGAGCGGGAGAGGGAGAAGCAGGCTTCCCACGGAGCAGGGAGCCCCATGCGGGGCTTGATCCCAGGACCCTGGGATCATGACCTGAGCCGAAGGCAGACGCCCAAGGACTGAGCCACCCAGGTGCCCCTAAAGTGAGAAGTTTTTAAAACACAAGAATACACGTGCATACATTCCATCGGCCATCATATCAATGACGTCACCACAAGTCAGGCAGCCTTTGGAGAGTGAAAAGGACAAACACATCTTTGTATTATTGTGAAAATAGTTTTGACCTCATTAACGCGCTGGAAAAGGTCTTGAGGATTCTTGGGGATTCTCAGACCACGTTTTGAGGACTGCCGAGTAAAAGGGCGGTAAAAGCAAAGAGGTCATTGGTTTTCCCACCCAAATTCATGTAGCCCCTGAATTCCATCCACCAGCTCCGATTAACAGCCCCACTACAATTGTGCCTGTTGGTCCCTGACGCGGTGGATGAGGGCTCCCAGCTCCCTTGTGGCACCTCCCCTCCCCAAATCCTGCTCTCATCTCAGCCCTCCCCTACTCTCAGGACAGCCGTAGAACTATTTCCAGTCCTCTTTTCGGACAGCTCTGTGTTTTAAGAAATAGACTTCCACTTCTCTTATTTCTTCTGCTCCTTGTGCTGGGGAACAGACCATCTACTCTGGGGCCAGATGGCCCGAGATTAGCTCTAGCTCGAGCATTGACTAACTTCGTCAAGTTACTGAACGCCATCGTACCTCGGTTTCCCCCTCTGTCACATGTCAATAATAATAATAGTAACAGGCTCATAGAGTTGCTGTGAAGATTAAATAAGGTAACAGATACCAACAACTGAAAACTGCCTCGCACAAAGCAGGTGTTGCCCGATACCTTCCAATTATTACTGTACCTTAGGCACCTGGGCTGCTCAGTCTATAAGATAAGGGCTGTGATGAACTCGCTTCTCCAAATCGTTTCTAAGATTATCTGAACGTTCTTTATTGTGAAACATAACATACTTACAGAAAGTACCTGAAACGTAAATAGTCCACTTAATGAATTATGACAAAGGGAACATACCTGTGTAACCACCGCCCATGTAAAGAAACAAATTCCACCAGTTTTCCATGAGCCTCCGCCCAGGCACTACTTTCTCTCTCCCCGCGGAGGTACCCACCTGACTTAGGTTTTGCTGCCTAAGTATGCCTTCTTGTTCTAGTATGTTCACAACATAGAGTGGACATATACAGTTGACCCTTGAACAACATGGGTTTGAACTACATGGGTCCACTTATACATAGACTGTTTACTGTACTGTAACTATATTTTCTCTTCCTTATGATTTTCTTAATAACATTTTCTTTTCTCTTGCTTACTTTATGGTAAGAATACAGAATATAGTACATATTACATACAAAATATGTGTTAATTGACTGTATGTTATTGGTAGGGCTTTCGGTCAAGAGTAGGCTATTCGTAGTTACCTTTTGGGAGAGTCAAAGTTATACTCGGATTTTTGACTGCATGGGGCATCAGTGCCCCTAACCCCCGGTCAATTTATTACACATTTCTTTTGGGTAAGAACCCAGGAGTAGAATGGCTGGATCATAAGGCATTTTGTTTATCTTTAGTAGATACGACCAAAGAGTTTTTCAAAGTGGTTGTAATATTCTTGTGAAATTCTTCTCCCTCCACCCATGTTGGAGCATTTCCATTACTCTGCATCCTCATCAACACTTGGCATTGTAGGCATTTTGTTTTGAGCCATTCTGGTAGATGTGTAGTGGTAGCTCATTGTAGTTTTAATTTGCATTTTAATTTGCATTTCCATTGAACATCT